AAATAAATAAATCCATAGTTTTAAAAATAGACACACAGTTCATAAAAGCTGGGAGCATTTAATCGTTATTCCAAATGGCATTGGTTACATTGGCTGCTTGTGCAGCTCTTTGCTATGAACTAGTATTCATAGGATCAGTTCATAAAACTCATGTGTCTCACTTTGAACTGAACTTCCTTCTTTAAACTTTCTTCTCCCAGCACTGCAGTTTTCCCAGCTGAGCCCTCCGCCCTGCTCTGGCGGGCCTGCGCAGCTGGCAGATCTGCAGCACAACAGCACTTCGTGATGGTAATTGACAGCAATCATTGTCGTCCCCACACAGGACCAGGCATTAAGAGAATTGGTGGATTACAGGTTTATTCACCACTCCAATAAAATGTTGTGTGTTTTTTTAATATTCTATATACCATTATTATTATTATTGGTATTATTATTATAAACAGTTACTGATATATCAATCTGCACAGCTTGTTATTACAGAAAGAAAATGTTGTCATACAGGAAATTTGCTTCCTGAGAATTTTGTTTTCGTGATTTGCTTTCATTTTAGTTTGCTGTTAACTCAATCCCAATTGGCCTCTGTGCCTACTCACCACAGTTTTGAGGCTGTTCTCAGTTCTGAAGGAAAATTTCTGCCTGGATATCATCTATGTAATGATTATCAAAGTGTTATGGGGGTGCCAACCCTTGCCGTTAAATTCATGGAAATGGTACAAAAACTTTCAGTTCTGCTTGCTAAATCCCCCTTCCACACTCTTAATATAGATTCCTAGTTGTGTTCCACAGATCAGCTGGGAAAAAAAAATGTCTTGAGGTGGACCTAACACTATTGTCCTTCTTTGTGTTGAGAGATGCCTAGCTAGATGGGTATTGTACTACTTGTACATAACTGAAAGTGAGTATAGAAATGTGCACTCTTCAAAAGACAATAGCTTAATGTAATATAGGAATGAGTTGCTATTCCAGCTCCTTTCCATAAATGTTACTTTATGGAAATGATCAGGACGAGGATCTACAAAGTTATTTTTTTCTGTGGTGTAACATCCATAGATTATTTCAAAAAAGAAAGCTGGGGATTTTAAAAAACAAAAGATAGCAGTTCTCAAAAATAGCTATTTTCTTTGTGAGAGGCCTATTGTCACAACTGAATGTAATTATCAAGTTCTATCACATTTTAAGTTTTAAATGTAACAAAACTACTCTTTCTGATGGTTTGAATGCAGGAGTCCAAAGTCAGAGGTGATATGTAAGACAATTATTACGTTGATAAGTTGTTCATATTGGAATGAAAACTTTTGTGGATTGATTGAAACTGTCCTGAACATTCCCCACACATTGAGCAAGATACAGGTAGCTAGAAATAGGTGTGTGTTCAAAGAGCGGCCGTCTTTTGGCTTATACACATCTGAACGGCTCCATGTTTCAGTTTTCTTCCTCATTTCATGTGTTTTGGTTCCATGATGCTCGTACACCAATATAATATTCCCTAAACCATTAGAGTCAATTTTGAGGCAAGATGGAGAGAGGGAAGAGGAAAGACAGTCATTGTAAATATAAATTCAGTTGAAGTGATGCATCACACATATATTGAGACAACTTCAGAAGGGTGTATGTTACATCCATATTCAATTCATGAGATATGTTTCAATTTTTATTTAGATTTGTATAAGTGGTGAGGATCCAAACTATCACAAATAATCAGCTCAGTTCTGGTCCAAATGAATCCTGGTGGACAGCATTATTTCTGAAAAATTCCTTAGAAATTATTCTTCTTACTGAAGACGACGTAGAACTAAATCATAGTTCATCAGTATTAAAGATGAGTATATTTTACATAGCCATCCAGAAAACTCAAGAAGAATCAGTTGGAAATTCATACTGTAAAGAACTTGGTATTCAGCAGAAGTTATTCTTTTTTCCTGTTTGTTTACAAGTCCTACTGATGGATTCATGACGTGTAGAGTTGCCTGTAAAGGTATTCAAGTTGAGGTCACTAAAATATCCCCATGGTTTTTATGATTTACAGGTGGAAATTCACCTGTAAATTTTTCTAGGGAGATAGACCTACTCTTAATGGTCTTGGGTAATGTGCTGGGGAAGATCTCTGTTGAACTGACATGGGGACACAGCAGCAGACATGGAAACTGGAATTCCTATTGCACCAAGCAGTGATGAGGGGATCTGTGAGACAGTGCAGTAACTATCCATACCTCAAAACCTGAAAAACTTAATATAGATACTGATAGTTTTCTTCCTTATTTCAATATTTTATGCTCTGTCAACAGAGAGGTTGACTAGTTAATCTGAATGAGGGAAAAGCCAGAGAAAACCAGAAGATCCTCTATATAAGCTCCCAGAGGCACAAACATTATTTATGACACATCATTTAACTGAGGGAAGTAAATGCTAATAAATGCTCAAAATAAAGAGAATAGAAATGTGATTTATCACAGTCAGAAGTGATGGTTATTCATCAGAAATACCTATTTTTTCCTTTTTTTTTTTTCATTTTTCATTTACATAGTTGTTTAAGATACTTTTGATATTGGCAGCTCAGGGAGGAGCAAATGCGCACACTAAGGACTTGGATGAGTTTCTGCTATTTGAATTTGCTAGAAATTTTATGAAATAACACCATAGCTCAGGACAAGCTGATGGCATTTCACAGTCTATTTCCCCATATTCCCTAAATGCTGATTTACCAAGAATGAAATGCATGTACACATACACATACTCTGGAGCATGTGTTAAAGCTGCGCTAAACATTTTCCATGTAACTTCCAGATGGCAACATTTTGCCAGAAAGCCTGGTACTTAGAAATGATAAATAAATAAAACAAACAGAATCTTGTGTTGTAATAAGGAGACAATGGAACAGCTGCAAAGCATGGAGTAAATTCAGCTTGACTTGCTGTGAACACAGTGGCTGGATTTTACCCAAGAGATATTAACAACATTCAGATTCCTAAGGGGGACATTGTGAAGAGAAAAGAAGGGATCTCATCAGGAGGTCTGTTAGCATATTTGGAAAAATAAACACAGAAATTATGAAAAATAATATTTAAGCAGCAAAATCAGCATAGGTTGTCCTCCTGCAGTATGTTAAAAACCATGAACTTGTCTTGGGAAGAAAAAATAAGGAACAGAGTTTTGTTTTATTTTGTTTGGAGGGAGAATGAGGGAGAAGATGGAGAGAGGTCGGAGCTTGGGAAGGCAAACTGTGTGACAACAAAAGCCACAAAGCGAAGAAAAGAGAAACCGTGAAGGTAAGGAAAGCAAAAGCAAAGAGGGTGTATCAAGTGTGTTTCTAAAGGGTGCTACTCATTAAAGAAAAGATAGCCCCTCCAAGCTTCCTGAGAGATATTTATAAGGGCAAAAGTATCACATAACACAAATGCTTCTGTCATAAAAAACATTTTCAGTTCAAGCAACATTTGAGAGCAGTTCCTCACCACCAGTAGTGGTAACTAGAAGCGCAGTAGTAAGAGCTACAGTAGGTGAAACATTTCTGTCTGGTTTGCTTTACCTTTCATGGGTGGGCTGTCTTCCACTTATGGTAGTGCACATTGATTGCTCTTTGCTGAACCTGGTATAGTAATAACTCGCATTATTGGTGTCCTCTTATTACTGAAAGTGAAATATTGTGGTTTTTTCTCTTAAAAGGTGGTTCTATGTAATAAGGATGGACACCCTGATACTTATTTATGCTTTAGGCATGCAGATTTGGAAACAATGACCTGTGTAAGAATCAGTGGCAGTGATAAAAATGGAAACCAGGGATCAAACTTAGTAACTATGCATCAAGCAGCTAAAGAGCATTCCTGTATGATGATTTCCTGTTATTCAAGTGGTAGGCAGAACTTTCTGAGTTGGAAACTGTAGCAGCTTAAGAGAAAGTAAAACAGGGTCACATTAATCTGTAGTCTCGTACGTTTTCTCTCAAATGCATGAAGGAGGCTAAGTAAGAATTTCCAACACATCATCACTCTGACTTTGGCATGACTGGGTTGACATGATCAAATGACTTTTTTTTGCCTGGTATATGCTCCCCTGCTTTTTACATCCTTGATATCCCAGTTTATACATGTGCACATGCTGACTTCCTCCAGGACACCACAACCCATTGTGATAATTGCACTGCTAAAGCTACCTGCTGTGTTAAAGGTCAGCAGAAGGGCCTTAGAGGTGAAGTGGCACTTGCCTATCAAAATGCAAAATACTGGGGTGAAAGAAGTAAAACTCAACTATTATACGTTACTAAACTCGAGACATTCAAAGTCGAGTATATCATTCTCATGTACCAATACCCAGAGAAGAATGTCACAGCGTGACTCCATCCTCGTGATGGAGACTGAAAGAAGAATGAAAAATAATGCAAAGTTATCTCCTTTTTGTTAAATCTATTGTAATCTTGTGTTCTTCCTCTGCTACTGCACAGAAATAAAGACATTTTAATCCCAGGGTACAACTGAGAGAAGCCCTGATCTAATAATTGTAAAACCTCTCTATCCGATATTTTAGAACTCAGAGTACTTGTCACTTATGAATATTCATACAGACCACTAAAAGAATTATATTCTGTCTGCAGTTAGAGGAAGGAAAGGAACATGATAAATTCTAAAGAGACAGTAGTATTTTATGGAACACTTGTGAAATATTAAGGGCATACACAACAAAACTCTTGTGGGAAAATTTTTCAGGAGAGGTATAATGAACTAGTGATAACAGCATTATGAAGCAAACCTTTTAAAGGTAACAAAATACAGAAATTAACCTCAAATATTAGAAAAGTTGGAATTCTTCAAGGTAATGTGTTAATGTACATGTTCCTACAGGAGTATCCATGCTTTTCAGGTAAGATATGGAATGCAAAAGCCTGATACAAACTTTGCAAGATAAACTAGAAAACAAAGCTAAACACAAATTTTTTTATTAATAGAAGACAAGTTTTTATCTGAAGAAGGAATTTGGTTCCTGAAAGCCTGCCCTAAGGTTTACAGGTAAGGTTAGTTAAAAATATTAATTTTACATGCCCCTTAAGATTAAGTAAACTGCAGAATTCCTTGAAAGTAAAGTAATAAATGTTTAATAAAATTATTTTCAACTGTTTTCTGACAAGTCAGCACTTGTTAGAAAACAAAAGATGGCCTAATCTCATACTGGCAAGAAATGGACTTGTTCCAATGGCAGATGTACTAACCCAAGTAGATACTCAGTAAGTTTGGAAGACTGATTTTCCTCTGAAGTGGGAAACTTCTTGTGTTTACAGTATTCCCTGAAGAAATGAAAGTGACTTTTTATGAGTTCTTAAAAATAGAGGTAAGGTAGCCCTGAGACCTCTAAAACCAGAGGCTGATGGCAGCTTACCTGCTACCATGATGCTGCTGAAAGGAAGAGAGCATTCTCTCCTCCTTCATCACTCTTCCTGTTTTTCCTTCCTTTGAACTCTTCATCTGACAACACCTGTGCCCCTTGCTTCCAGAATTCTCCTGCTGATGCTGCATTGGGCTTTTTTTTACTTCTCTTCTGTTCTCATTTGACCAATGTGATGTCCATTGACAAGAAGGGTTGGAAAGAGGATCTGGGAAACCACAGGCCTGTCAACCTGACCTCAGTGTCCAGCAAGGATACAGAACAGCACAAGTCCTTTGAGGAGTGGCTGAGGGTGCTGGTGTTGTCCTTGTCTATGAGTCAACAGGAGGACCTACCTCTCAATTCTTATAAAGCTCTAAACTGAACATAACTTATCAAAAAAGTGTAGTTCCTGACCAGCAATTCAAAGTAAATTATATAATTTAATTAAATAAGTCCTATGAAGAGGGCTAAGAGAGTTGATGTTTAGCCTGGAGAAGAGGAGGTTCAGGGGAGACCTCATCACTCTCTACAACTACCTGAAAGGAGGTTGTAGCAAGATGGGGGTTGGTCTCTTCTCCCAGGCAACCAGAAGTAGGACAAAAGGAGATAGTCTTAAGCTGAGGCAGAGGACGTTTTGGTTGGACATTAGAACGAGGTTCTTCACAGAGAGAGTGATTGGGCATTGGAATGGGTTGCCAATGGAGGTGGTGGAGCCACCACCTCCTGGAGGTGTTTAAGAACAGACTGGATGTGGCACTTAGTGCCATGGTCTAGTTGACAAGGTGGTGTTGGGTCACAGATTGGACTTGATGATCTCAGAGGTCTTTTCTAAGTCAATTGATTCTGTGATTTACACATAGGTGCCCTTGCTTGCGGTCTATGAGAAACAAGGGCTGGAGCACTCTCAAGGTCTTTGACTTGACAGTGTTTCACTTTGCATGCATAATACTCTGTTCTTTTATTGACTAAATGAAACCAGACTTTTGGACACTACTGTGATGTCATGTGACTATACTCCAGCTAGTCCCATTCAGGTCATGCAGCCTCTCTGAGAGGTAGATGGACCATCAGCAGGTGTAGATGCTTGTCTGCTTAGCTGAGTCTACAGTCTGAACTGCTGAATTTTATAGACTTCTGCAGATGGAGGATGTAACTCATCTTCCTTCCAGGCAAACATCTTAATCTTAGAAGAAAATTTAAAACCTTCTACAGAGATAAAAATTAGCTGCAAAAGGAGAAATATCACAAGTTTGATGCTTTATGAAGACAGTTCAGGTATCCTGGAAGAACTCTTCTCGGGAGTTTTGTGGGAGGAACTGACATGTGGAAAGCAGTACTTCTGGCCTTCTCACTGAGAGTTATAGTATCCATTTCTGAAATGACATGAGTAGACCATTACATTTGCTTTCAGTCTCTGCTACTATTTATACTCAATAGGTAATTTTATTTCAGTATGTTTTGCATCTTCTGCCTGTGTCTGCTTTCCGCAGAAGAACTTCAATTTAAGGAATTTTATTTCCATCCTTCACTTGAAGATCTGTGATTGCCAAAGGAATGCCTCTGATCTTTCCTAAAAGTATCCATGTTGAGTTTGCTTTCATGTTGGTATCTGCCAGATGCTGTCTCCAGGACTACACTTTCCCTAGGACCTTAGTCCAGAAGATGTACAAAGAGAGCAAAAGTTTCTCTTTGTGATTCTACGAATGTTTTAGTCTATGTCACACAACTATGTCTTCCTGCATAAGGTGCTGAGACTCATATCCTGTCTTAAGTTAAACCCATGAAAACTCATTAAAAGCAATGGAGATGCATGGGAAGAAGTGAATAAGTAGTATTTAGCTCACAAAAGTGCAATCAACTGTAAGCTCAATAATCTATTGATAGAGTCATCCTGTCTTCCAAAGCATGCCAACATTTCCTATAATATGTTGTGATTGTGCTGCGCTTTCAGTAGAGGTGGGTCGTGTGTTTAAAAATGACATTTGCTTTACCATTCTGCCTAAATTGTGGATAATGTTTTAATAAATGGCATTTTTTAGAAGAAATATATTATTTGATAAAATTATTACTCAAACTGAATTCCATCAAATTGTCACAGTTGTTATGTGCTTAAAAAGCTTCTGCTCCTCTATTATTAAGTGGTAAAAGATTATAATTTGATAAAAATGAATACTAAAATGACTGATTTTTAAAAGTATGTTTCAATAAAATTCAGTATAAAAATTCAAAGCAAAATGTAAAAAAAAGATTTTCTTTTTTATTTTAAATCTACACATTTAAAAATATTTCAGTGAACAAATTAATGTTGCAATAGAAGGTACATCACCTGTGCTACATACTCCTCAGTTTCCAGCACTGTCTCATCCACTTATATGATGAGTCATGAGTCCATACTTACACAATATTTACTTCTTTACTATAATAGATACAGCATTTGCATTGTAAACATTAATATAAGTGCAAAGGAGGTTGTGATAGTAGAAAGTAAGACCTAGTACTATGCAAACCCTCTTAGTGAAGTCATTAGCTTTGGTGAGTATATAGTTCCATCTCTGGAAGAGCTTTTTTTGCAGTCATAGCTGCATAACAGTGCTTTTCTAACATGACTACTAAATATATTGCAGCTGATTGTTCCTTGACATGAATTTAACTGTAATGACCACTCCTTTTTTAACTCAGAGCAACAGGAGACTCAAAACTGCAGGGAACTCCTTTTTTTTCTTGTTCAGCTTAAAATAAAATAAAAAACTAATCAACTAACGGTCAAGAATTCTCAAAAGAGAATGGTAAGAAAACTAGAAAATAAAAAGCTTTGAAGGATTTTAAAATTAAGGACCTGAACTGCTAGTGAAAGAAGTTTGCTTGCTTATTAAATCAGCAATAACATCAACTGAATAGAAAATTAAATGAACTAAGTAAACCACAAAAAATAAGAAACAAAGAAAAGAGTAGCAATAACCCAGAAAATATGAATCATAGAATCATATAATCAGATGGGTTGGAAAGGACCACTGAGATTATCAAGTACAACCCTTGATCCACTACACCACAGTTACTAGACTATGGTACTCAGTACCACATCCAGTCTCATCTTAAAAACCTCCAGGGATGGAGAATCTACCATCTCCCTGGACAGCCCAGATGAAGCCTATCCCACCATAGCAGTCTTGGTACCATAAATTTTGCTCCATGATTAAAAAACCCCAAAATTTGTGGCACCAATACTTTAGCCACCTATTGATAAAATGGGTTTTCCTATTCCTCTCCTCATTCATACCTGCTACTGTAGGAATTGAGGTGAACACCACTTGTGCTCCTGTCCCATCAACTAATCGACCCAAAGCCTTAAAGCCCTTTTTAATTGCCAGGGTATCTCTTTTACTGATCTCATCACTGCCAACCTTTTCTACCAAAAGTGGGTAATAATCAGAGGGCCAAATTAGCTCAAGGAGTCTCCTGATAATATCACTTATGCTAGTCCCAGGAAGCCAGCAGACTTCCCTGTGGGATGGGTCCAGTCATCATACAGGGCCTTCAGTTCCCCTCAGAAGGGAATCACCAACTACAACTACTCTTCTTTTTTCTTAATAGCTGCAGTTGTGATCCATCTAATAGACGGAGTGCAACCGGGAGACCCTCCAGACAGATCTTTTTCCTGGGTGTCATTTGCCTGACTCTCTGGGTCCAGGGCCTCACACCTGTTCTTTAAGGGTACTCGGGGAGGTGATGGGCATTGTGAGGGGAGTTCTTTTACCTCTCTGACCAGGGATCTGTTTCCATTCCCTCCCATCTACTCGATTTGCTCCATCTGCTTGATGGCAGGAGGGGCAGGGCTTCTCTGACTCCAGCTGAACTTCTTTTGGAGTTGAAAGGGTGCAACTGCACTAGTCTATTTCTCTTTCACTTTCCCTAATGCTTCTTAGCCTCTCCTCTTCTTCCTTAAGCTCTGCCACTAAACAGAGCAAATCATTCAACTGACCGCACCGTACGTAGGTGTCATTCACACTGTCCTGTGGTACTAATACCAGGCTCAGACACTCCCTACAGCCAGTGACCTGGACAGCTGCATCCTTCTTGGGCGTTTCTGTCTAGGTTAGGACACTCCTGCTGGCAGCAGCAGCAATGGCTTTTGGTAGTTTTGAAACCATTACTGAATCTAGTTGAATTGGAGAGAGAAAAAAACCTCAAAACCAAAGAAACACAACAGCAACAACAAAAAAAACCAAACAAAACCCACCTCCACCACCAAAACCAACCAACCAAACAAAAAATAAACCAAACAGAACAAACCAAAAAAAAACCCAACCACCAAACAAAACCACGCATACCTACCACACAACCCACCAGCAAGAGTTGGGAGAATGGCTGTGCCCTTCCTGCTTCAGCCTGCATGAACTGCCATGCAAACTGCAAAATTCCTTCTATTAAACAAAGAAGCAAACAAATGAAAAACAAAAATAAGAAGCCAGGCATTAGTCTGATCCTGGGATGTCAACATTCCTGTGCCAGGTGTCATTCACTCCATCCAGGACAGAAGTAGTTCTTAAGAGGATCCCTTTGCTCTTTCACTTGGCATTTGCTCATGCAAGAGATCATGTAAGTGCTTCAGTATGCTGGTTGCAGTGATAGTTTGAATAAGAATTAT